GATTTAGGAGAAGAGTGTTGTGAGGTTGACGGACCACTTTCTTGGCGTATATCCCGAAACACGTTGAAGCAGTCGTCTCACCTTTGCATAAAATGAAAATAATTCTGCATTATTGTGCGAACCATTTTAGATTTGCTAACTTTCTACACTGCACAAGTAAAATAGAAATGTATTAAACAAATAAAATAAACACTTGTCACGGAACACACACACGTTGATTGCAGTTTGTCGAAATCGGTAAGGGCTAATCTGTAGGTACCTTTTATATTATTAATCCGAATCATTTCCTTGCAAGGAATAGGTATAGATTATGAATACGAATTGTAAAAGCTTTTACTTCCACCTTTTGCTTAAAAGTAAATGCTTTAAAACGCGGCAAATAATTCTTTATTATGTAAAAATTGCTGCCAACGTTTCTGCCTAAATTGTTGAACTCTTTCGAGTATTAATATTTGTATTTTCAGTAATAAACTCAGTGATATGCTTATCCTAAAATACTATATTTGGAATACCGATAAAATGTTGTGAAATGTAAATATCTTATTATAGGTATATACATAAATACTTAGTATTCATTATTTTATCCGGTAAGCCAATAATCTTGCTTAGACCTTACCTCAAACGAACTAGTGAAGGCAGAAAAAGCATCACAAGGCCGGAATTTCAAAATTGCCTGAATGCCTATACTTAATACTAACTTATGTTATAGGTATCTGCCTTCCATTCAGCTGTAACCGGTTAAACTACGGAACGTTTAATTTATTATTATCCTAGTAGTTGTTGTTGTTATAAATTGTGTATAATATTTAGTGAATCCGCAGTTATTACATATTATAATGTATTTTTAGGAAGGTCCAGTAATAATTTCCACATTTTCTTTTCCTACGATACATGAGCAGTTCAAAAATTACATTAGGTCCGAGGACACCTTCCTCGGGAATCCGACACTACCCAGTCGTGCGGATGGCTGAGTGTCTTTTCAAGATTTAAACTCTTCCACGAAAACAAAAAAAATTATACGAATAATTTCACCAGATATTCCATTATCATTAAGAATTCATGGATGAATTTTTATTCTTTTAAATAATGCGCAAGAAAGCTTTGAGAAGCATCAAGTTTTAATTTGCACGAAAGAAACTTATCTATAAGTTAGTGCTGTTTTTAGCAAGAAAAATAGGATGTAAATGGAAAATGTCTCACAGAACTTGCATTAAAAATATAATCGGACTGTTATTTTTCTATAAGTACAGTTCAATCTAAAATGAGATAAAATATTAATTTGAAATCATTTTTTCGATTTTTTATTTATTTACCCACTTAAAAAGGCGCCAGGTGTAGATGGGATACAGGGGGAAATTCTAAAACATGCAGGACAAGAGGTTAGAGAGCGTATGTTTAAGTTAGTTAGTCACATTTACGAAACGGGGAAAGTCCCAGAGGATTATAAACGGAACGTAGTAGTAACATTACCTAAGAAGAGGGGCGCGGATAGGTGCGAGAAATTTCGAACAATTAGCTTAACTTCCCATGCGTCAAAAATCTTAACTAGAATTGTACAGAGGAGGATGGAAAAAAGGGCGGAAGAACTATTAGGGGAAGATCAATTTGGGTTTAGAAGAAATAGAGGAACGCGGGAGGCCATTCTAGCTTTACGGGTAGCAATAGAGAAAACGATAGAAAAAGGAAAGAGTGCGTACATAGGATTTGTAGATTTAGAGAAAGCTTTTGACAATGTTAAATGGGACAAGATGTTAAATATACTTAAAAATGTAGGGATGAACGGAGTCAGGCAGCGATGCACACTGTCACCGCTACTTTTTATCTATACATCGAAGACGCCATCAACATCATTAAAGACAGTACAACTGTAGGGATAGATGTGCAAGGGCAAAAGATTAGTACGCTTAGATTTGCAGATGATATAGCAGTATTAGCATCTAGCAAGGAGGACCTAGAGATAGCTTTAAATAAAATGGAAGCGGTACTGACAGATCAGTACTGTATGAAAATAAATAAAAGTAAAACTAAAATACTGATATGCAAGGGAAGAAAAAGTAGGGAAAGAGCGAATATAAAGATAGGAGACGAAAAATTAGAAGAAGTGGCTGATTTTAGATACCTAGGAAGTCAGATAAGTGAGGATGGAAGGAGTAGTAGGGATATAAAGCAGAGGATAGCGCAGGGTCGTGTCGCCTTTAATAAAAAGAAGTCACTTCTATGCTCGCGAACGGTTAATTTAGAAATTCGAAAAAGGTTGTTAAAGGTGTATGTTTGGAGCACGGCGTTGTACGGGTGCGAAACATGGACAGTGGGAGCGGCGGAAAAGAAAAGGTTAGAAGCGTTCGAAATGTGGTGTTATAGGCGGATGATGAGGATATCGTGGGTAGAAAAGGTTAGAAATGAAGAGGTATTGGAAAGAATAGGAGAACAGAGGACTCTATGGAAGTCAATAAAAAATAGGCGAGATAGGTTGGTAGGACACCTTCTCAGGCATGAAGGTCTAGTCAGAGACATATTAGAGGCAGAAACAGGAGTTAGGAGGGGTAGAGGTAGACCTAGATTAGATTACTCTTCGCAAATAGTTAAGGATGTGGGCTGTTCTAGTTTTAGGGAAATGCGAAGTTTAGCTCAGGATAGGAAAGAGTGGAGGTGCGTGTCCAACCAGTCTTAGGACTGATTACCTTATGATGATGAAACTACTTCAAATTAATGAGGGGAAAATTGTTTCTGTTGTCACACACCCGCCGTGAATCGAACCCGGGACCTTTGGCTTTACGCAACAATGTTCTGACCACTAAACTACGAGAGGTGACAAGAGCAACCACGACCAACCGACCTACAAGGTTAACGATCCGTCGTTTTTTATTAACAAAATTAAATATATAAAATCCTACGACATTGTTAGTTAATTAATAGTGGATTAATATGCAATATTAATTTGAAATCATTTTTTCGATTTCTTAAACTAAAGCCAAAGGTCGCGGGTTCGATTCCCGGCGGGGTGTGACAACAGCAACAATTTTTCCCTCATTAATTTGAGGTAGTTTGTAGTGGGTGAATAAAAAAAATCGTAAAAATGATTTCAAATTAATATTGCATATTAATCCACTATAAAGTAACTAACAATGTCATAGGATTTCATATATAAAATGATCAATATGTTCTTTCTACTCGATTAATTGGTTTACGCGATGTACATATTAACGTTACCATAACAGGTGTGAAAGTTAGTTTTATAAAAAAGCAGGACCTTAATTTGATATTAATTAAATTAACATAACTCGCGAATATTGTTTTTCACGATGATGATTGATTCAATGAAAAATTTTAAGCAATTTCCTTTGCCTATCATACAACATTAACAATTAAATTAAAAAAGTCGTGGGTGTATTGTGTAACCGAAAACAATAATAAAATCTTATCGGGAATTTTAATTCAAAAGCGCGGTGAAAAATTTTCAATTTGTAGATCACGCAGGTAACTACTGTTCGTATATGAGGAAAGGCTATTAATTGATCTGACCTTTAAAAATGAATCATCGTGTCCGTACTTAATTACTCGATTGTCGTAAAATAAGCATAGTGACACAAAATGACTCAATAACAGAACAGTATCTGTGAATCGGCAGGACGTGTAAAATTATTAGAACATAGAAAAGCATGTTACATTATTGACTCAAAGAAAATACATATTTATAACAAATTAATCAAAAATAAAATGGGCAAGCAAGACAATGGAAGCGCTTTTAAAATCAGTGCCTATCTACCTAATAGATATCTTCAACTCGTCTTCTGCAATCAATAAGGTTCCAGCAGTTTTTTATTTAAACCTTAATTTTTTATTGCACGGGAAAAATTACCAAATCTTTTTGTCTTAAAATCAGAAATGTAATTACGATAAAATTAACAATTCTTCATAACAGCTTGTTTATAACTTATAACCCTTTCGTTGAAGCTATTTGTTTTTGATACAGGTAAATAAATCCGAACAGTAATCTAATCTAGGTCTACCTCTACCCCTTCTATCTCCCGTTTCTGCCTCTAATATGTATCTGACTAGACCTTCATGCTTGAGAAGGTGTCTTACTAACCTATCTCGCCTATTTTTTAATGACTTCCATAGCGCCCTCTGTTTTCCTATTCTTTCCAATATCTCTCCATTTCTAACCTTCTCTATCCACGATCTTATCATCATTTGCCTATAACGTCACATTTTTAAGACACTTCATGTTTCGCACCCGTACAGCGACGTGCTCCAGACGTACACCTTTAACAATCTTTTTGGAATTTCTAAATTAACCGTTTCCGAGCAAGTGATTCCCTTTTATTAAAGATGAGTCGATCCTACGCTATCCTCAGTTTTATATCTCTGTTACGCCTTTCATCCTGCATTATATGACTTTTTAGATGCGAAAATCAGCGACCATTATAAAATAAATATATTTTCTAAAAGTATGATGCATCTCGTGGGCCGCATACGTCTGATCTAATGAATATCACGACGCCCTCAGCCAGAGTTCTAAAGAATTCAACTGATCTACTGCTCAGTTCTGGTCAGAACAAGCATTAAAAAACGATTTTGCACAAATTATAATTTTTTTGACATTTCTCTAGGTCTACATTGCGCTACTATTCTTAAAAGATTTCTAGTAGCGTTACAACTTGTAACGGTCTGTTTAATGAGACAGTTCAATGGGCAGTTTCATTATTTTTGTACTTACATACTCACTTTACAATGTATACATACACACGTATGTACATTCGTTCAATACACGTGTCTACATGCATGTATGCACTTCCGTGGTCTTCGACTATGAACACCTCTCGCTACTCACGAACAATAACAAGTCCACAGGAAGTTTATAATTACAGGAAGTGCTAAGTAGATTGACTTCTTTATTTCATCAAGAGATTTTTGAAGGTAGGGAAAGACATCATGTGTAAATGATTGCACTTTTACGGTAAAATAAAAGGCCCAAACAAGATCGCCAGGAAGTTTTGGCACCGAACAAATTAAAAGATTTTAAAAATAAAGTTTAGGGCAGTCCCTAAACAATTTTATCAAAGTAGAAGAAGTAATCGTATACTTTGCATTTCCTGTAGTTAAATGTTAAACCTAATAGTTAATTTTATTATATATGGAAACTATGATAAAACAGCTATTTATTTAAACACTTCGTGATTAAAGGCTTGGCATTCACCAGTCTTATTAAGAAAATCAGCCCGCACATTCTTGGGTAAAGACATTTTTCAGGAACCTACCAGTATATCTACATATGTATTTTTACACATACACTGAACAAAGTTACAAAACAACATTTTCCCGTTATACGTTCTTTTCTGATAAAATCTGACCTCAACGGAGAGCCGTACTAGTACGTACCTAAAGTAAAATTCTCATGCAAAAAATTTTGTAACAAAATACCTAAGAACACCATACAGAAGCAAAGGTTAAATATTTCAATTTTCAGTAACTTTAAAGTCGATTGTATGTATGATCCTATTCACTCTCTGTTATTTCTAGAAACATCCGATACTTACTGTTTAAAAAAATGATCAATATCTGACTTTTATATCTAAATTTTGATCTACAAGTCAATTATAAAATATTCCTCAAACAGAGAAAAGTTGAAACACATTCTGGTATTATTGCGATGAAAGATCTAATATAAAAAACTCACCCTTTCTGGATTTTCTAATAATCGTGATGTTGTGTAGCACTAATAACACTTCACTGCACTGCACTGCAACAAAAGAAGTTTAATTAGTAGGGGTAGGCACAAGGACTCAACAGAAAGCAATGCAACATAGTTCAATTTTCCTACAAATTGACACACATTTTACATATTAAACATTTTCTTGTAAGTATCTAGCAATTCATATGATTTGTTCTAATTTCATCAGTTTCATTTCAGTATACTAAAGAAGGATTAATAGGAAATGTACGAACAACTTGTATTACTATCTCTACAGAACCCTTGTTGTAAATAAAGGAAATAGTCATATATTATGTAGAAAACAGGGTTGATATGATTTAAATAGGTTGATTGTAAACGATCTGATTAATTTAAGAAAATGAAGTTACTTGGACACTTAAAAATGTATTTATTCATAAAAGAAATGAAACCAAGAAACATTTTTATGTTAATATTTATTATTCATTAGCTATTAAAAAAATTTAATACAAAAAGGAGAACTGTACCTAAAGAAAAACTAAATATTGTTGAACTTTTATAATACCCAAATTTGTTTCTTATATCTGAATGTACGAGTCAGTACACTATAAATCGTTAGAATCGTTAGAAAATAGGAAATCCTAAATAATATTATAAATACAAATAAGTTTATCTGTTTGTCTGATAATATTTCATACCTTAACTACTGGACCGATTATCATCAAATTCTGTACACACGTTTTCAGGGGTGCAGAAAAGGACATAGGGTACCTTTTATCCAAAAAAAGAATACCGTTCCCGAAGGACAGAAAAACTAGTTTTATGTGATCGTCGATGATTTTTGATTTTAAAAACTTAAAAACCAGCCACAATTAGATTTACTAAAAAAATAAAAAATCGATTTTATTTAAAAAAAAATCATGATTTTCATAAATCTTGATAGGAAACCAGTGTGTGTAGATCTAGGTAATCCTTGAATTGGGACAAAATTAATCATACACGTATAAGAAAATATAACCGTGTGATAATTTGATACTTTAGTTAAAAATACCAGGAACCGTAAAAATAAAATAAATAATAAATATTTCGAATCCCAATTAATTATTCAGAAAACGCAGTAGGTTTTTATTACAAAATTGTTATTGGTATTCCTTCGACATTGAACGGTTTCAAAGAATATGTAATGTACTGAATATTTTGTATCTTTTCGTCGAAGAATATGTGAACTCCAACAAAAGTAATTCTACATTAAAAAAAAAAATGCACAACCTTAAGTTTATATTTACACATAAAGAAGTAAATCTTGGTATAAATTACAAGTTCAAAATAAAGCACACTTGGAGCAACGTATGCTCAATTTTTCATGGTAAAGGTTCAACAAAACAAAAGCAATTTCGTTATTTATCGATGCCTACGTGCGGCAATCATTCAACGTCATATAACCCAAAACAGTTTGCTTAGGTATATCAGAGCCGGGCAAACTCGGCTCTTTTGACTCCCGAGTGCTCCTCAGGTATAGCCAAGGAGCTCCTCATTGATCCTGCGAGTGCGAGTGAGATGGTTCTTCCCTTTTCTTATCCCTTCCATTTCGTAGGTGAGTCCTCTCTTCCATAGCCAAACCCAATAGTATTGTGAACGTAGTAACGAAAATTTTCGTAGGTATTATTTAAATTGCGAGAGAGGTTTCGCTCATCTACGGGATGAAGGGGCTTGATATGGGAGTGGAAGGGAGAAGAAAGAGAGAAAGCAATATGGGTCATTACTGCTTATTCTCTCGTACTCATTGAAGGGTATGGAGTGATTCAAACTAACCTCACGTAGCGCCTCCTACGAAGTTAAAGTTTGCCCGGCTCTGAGGTATATGACGCAAGAATATCTGTTACTTTGTCCAAATCGGAAGCTTTTGCGATTTTACTTTCGTAGAACATGATTGCTAAATTACTTATCCTCCTTGGTCTAAAAACAGCATTCGGGCTACAGAAGGAAATAAACATGAGACCTGGGGGATAATTTACTTTTCCTGCCTAGGCGCGTAATTTACCAATGTCATCACGGAGCCCAAGGCACTTTAGGTTATATGAAACTTAAAATGTATAACGACGTGGTACGCCCCAGGTCCAAGCTACGCCCCTGTATACCCTATGATATTTAATTTTGCTGTATAAAAAATATCATTTACGTAAAAACTGTGATAATAATTGAAATTATTATTAACATACGTATTAACACGATTGGTACTCTCGCCAACCTTTACGTTAAGGCATCTACAATTTATTTTACTATAATGTAACTGCCTACTTATTACGTATTTACTATTCCCGATGCACTTGTTTGCTTGTGTCACCTAATTGATTTTACGTCGATTGTGCCACTAACACACAAAACTTGTTTAATAATGCAAATCGATCGTAACTGTTGTTTTGCTTCGGCAGTTATCGAAATAAAAAGTGTCTCGTTAATAAATAATAATAATAATAATAACGGATGATGGAACAGATGGGAAAGTCTACGTTCGCAAATCAGTAGAAAACGGTTTGGAGATGTTATTATACAAATGGCACTTTTCGATTCGACCCAAAAGTTGACCTGTTTCAAAAACATTTGCATTCGATTATAAGAAAATAGCATTACAAGGGAAAATGGACTGTGTATTGAATATACTTTTCTTACTGTTCTGTAACCTAATCTAACTAAAATTTTCTACAATGTAATCCTGGTTTGGGTCCGGAATTCGACCCTTCTTTGAGATCCGGGAATATACTGGATAATGACGCCGAATATCCTGCAGTGTTGGGTAATTCTTCCACAGAAAAATGAAAAACAAACACCAGCAATAATACTTTGATAAGTACAACAAAACAAAAAAAGCTACTTAAAGAAAATTGGAAATTAAGATCATTTTGGGATAGATTGTTTGGCCTAAATTTGTATTATTTATTAATTACTATATACTAATTTTATTTGTTACGTCGATATAGTTCTAGGGTTTACTTTTTCTTGTGAATAAAAATACATTAGTTTGGCCTAACTTTTATAATTTCTGTCGCTAGTTGATATATCAGGTTTTGATTAACGATAACTTATTAGTATGATTTTGTCACCTCGCAGACTTTCAGTTTTTATAAACATCACAAGCTCGTTTCAACGGTTTCAACTCAACCCTCTCGTTGAAAATCCACCAACCAGAAATAAATGGCCGGAAACTCCTGGTAAAATATTATAGTAGATAATAATAAAAAAGACACTTGGAGGAGTCTCACTAAATTTTATTACGAAGATGTCCTAAGAAGGCGAAATGTACATCAAGTTCGTAATAAAAATTAGTGAAATACCTCGTAGTATCCTTTTATTATTACTTATTATTTAATATTATAATAATAGTAAGCCAATAATCTTGCTTAGACCTTACCTCAAACGANTCTAGCAAACAAAAACTTCAGCGTTTTTCCCTTTGATTGAAGGCTTTTCCAAGAAAATTCTCATTAATGGAATTTCGAATTCCATATACTCTCTTATTAATCTATTAATGGACGATGTACAACGAGACTTTTTTGTGCTATTTGAAATTATGCTTTTTTAAATATGTAATTTTTAAGATTGTGTTTTTAAATTTAATTATTACTGCTGTAAGGAGGAGATATTTGTGTAAACTATTTTTTTGCTCGACTGTTTCCTTGAAAACCCCTTAAAGTGTAAAACGGTGAAGTCTTCGTAAGTGTTGTTTTTTACCTGAAAGAGTCTCATCTCTCAATGGAAATTAATAACAATATTATATCTAATAGATGTATAATAATAAATATTTTCAATTTGAAAAATGTTAGACTTGTAATTCATGAATTACAGCATTGACAGAAAAAAATGCAAAACAACACACTTTTAGAATGCGATTAGTATAGAAAGCAAATTCACACGGTTAACTTAGTTTAACTGCTGTAATCATTCTCCCTTTTTATTAAACTAATACATGTAAATGCATCATTATCAAGCATTAACGTTAATGATTAATTTTGACCTAGATAACAAAACCATTTATTTTAAATAATTAAATACATAATATGTGAAAACTTGTCATTTGAGATTAATGACTGACTACACCACCAGTCAATTAATAAATGCAATATATCAAAAAAATTTTTAATATGTAGGCTTTAAATATAAATCCTTTTTTATTTCTTAGCAGTAACTGTGTTTTCTAAAAATTGAGTACCCACAAATTTATTTATTCATTTTGTCAAAAAAAGGAAGTAAACCAGAAAATTATAATTCTTTTGTCTATTAAATAATATTTTATGAAAACCTGACAGACACACGTAATACGAGTGATCATGTAAGGGTTCCGTTTTTCGTTCGGACGTACGGAACCCTAACTCAAGAAACTTAACATTGTAGATGAAAAAAGAAACATGTTCTCCCTTACATTCAAACCGCAAGTGTACGCACAATATTGTTTTGTTGAAAGATTTACGAGGTTATATTCAGACCATAGACTTCTTATTAATTTTTTTTTTCAAAATTTTAGGTTTAATACTTTCGGGAATAAGGGGGAATGGGATGGTCAGTTTTCATTTATTTTCTTAAATAAATTTAAAACTATTTATTTTAAAATTATCATCATCATCATAAGGTCGTCAGTCCTAAGACTGGTTGGACACGTACCTCCACTCTTTCCTATCCTAAGCTAAACTTCGCATTTCCCTAAAACTAGAACAATCCACGAGAACAGTAATCCAACCTAAGTCTACCTCTACCCCTCTTAACTCTTGTTTCAGCCTCTAATATGTCTCTGACTAGATGTTCATGCTTGAGAAGGTGTCCTACCAACCTATCTCGCCTATTTTTTATTGACTTCCATAGTGTCCTCTGTTCTCCTATTCTTTCTAATATCTCTTCATTTCTAACCTTTTCTACCCACGACATCCTCATCCGCCTATAACACCACATTTCGAACGCTTCTAAACTTTTCTTTTCCGCCGCGCCCACTGTCCATGTTTCGCACCCGTACAACGCCGTGCTCCAAACATACACCTTTAACAACCTTTTTCGAATTCGAAAATTATAAAAAATTAATT